GTAGTGCGTATAAATTAAAGTGTTCCGGGGTACTGCGTGCGCCACACGTTATTGAGTCGTTCATAGGAATACAAAATTAAGTCACAATAAATGAACACCAGAGTTTAGAGCCAGAAATTTCCAATGAAACGAGATATTAATCGATTTCCCTTTATTTTTTTCGTTACTGAAGCGAATGTGGTCTGTGGCGAGATATATATACATATATCTGAGGAATTAATAATAGCTCTATAGATGATTTCAAAAGCAAACGAGTGATAAGCAAGATTTATTGGAAGGAATTTAAGAAAAAAGATCCCGATCATATAAGGCATTTAACTCATAGATACCAAAGATAAGAAAAAAATTTGGTGTTAGCTGTTAGGAATCTCTCTCGTACACAATTTATGATCTGCCTCTGATCGCACTAAGTAAAGTAAATAAACTAAATAATTATTAAAAGTGATAAGCGAATGAACGAATACATTATCAATTTCAAGTCACTGTAAGCCAAAATAAAGTGGGGGACCCCGTGAATTTTCATAGGGTTCGCTTCTTCCTCTTTCTCTTTCTCGCTCTATCTCTCTCACTTTCATTCTCTTATTTATTCCATTGGTATTAAATAAATCTAATGAACGAGGAAAGAGAAATTATTATAAAATTAAGCGCTGATCGGCTAACATTGATTACAAATTCAATTAGAAGATCAGTAATTACGGTAGATAGCGAAATAATTTGTCAATTCTATTTTCCATAATCCATTCTGTAAGTTTCTCGCTTCGTCTTTGCCTTTCGATATGATTTGCTATGTGAAACGAGTATGCTATGTTCTTTCGAGTAAATCTCAAGGCGGCTGAATTTTCTCTAATCCGACGTATAGACATACATTTTTAACATACATTGTTTGCGTGCGTTTAATAATATACATGAAGATATTTCTTGGGAGAATGCAATGATTTTTCATGTATGTACAATTAATTTAAGCTCTTCTAGTAAACGCAACTATAATAAATTAGGTTTAGTCTACTTATTTAGGATTTAAGCCGTCAAGCTATGATATGTATTATATGTTTTTTTGTAAGATTTAACAATAATCAGAAATAAATCGTCGAAAAGGAAGGAGGCTCATTTCTTTTTTTTTTTTTTTTTTCCTTCTAATAATTTATTCCCATCCAAATTCATTCCATCGATAACTGATATTTACATGCAAGCTTAAATAAGACTTCGTAAGACGACGCCCCCTTTGCATACTCGTGTAATTAAATATTACCCATGACCATATGTTCGTTAGTGTGACTGTTATCAGTTCGATTTTTTCCGATCTCGAACTGGGGCTCGTCCTCCAATTCCCAGACAAAGGCGTCATCGAATTTCTGCTGCTCGGTGACCCAACCGCACATCTTCGTACGTAAAGCTAAACCTATAAATTGAGTTACATAATCGGGCGAGCATACAGAGAATAATCGTAAGAGGCTTTCGTGGCTAAGCCATAATGAATGAGTGAAATCAATAAAAGAGAGAATAATTAACTCATCTAATAATTAACTCATTAACTTATCTGCTACATAAATTAGAGTTAGAGTTAGATCAGCCGATTGCTGATTTGATATGTGATTCTAGAGATTTGTAAATATTACATAATGTACATGCTGCTGCATGTACTGCTCTGTGGTTTTATAGCGTAAAAATAATGTATAACATTATTTTTTTTTCTTTCGAGGCGATATCGCATCACTATAAATATATTGCATCGCAACAAAATAAAATTAATTATTACAAAATACTTCTGTCCGAGGAATACGAATATGACATTTTATTGGCATATTTTGTTCAAGATTAAGACCTATATATATATA